CGGGTGCATGCAAAATATCACTACCGAATACACTGCATGGAAAATAAAAGGGCAAACAAGCGGTAAATGAGTAAATGGAATAAGAAGATAGAGAGTAGAGAGAAGAGAAGGCCAGAAATATAACAACTTCGAATTAAAGATTATATTTATATGAATTTTACTAGTGTAGCGTTCCGGTCGTTGATGCAATCGTTGTCATCATTGTCGCCAAGTTCACCAATCCCATGGAAATGCCGCAGCGTGTACAGTGTTCACATTGCACTCAGAAGACATTTGTGTCATAGTTTTCCGTTTTTTTTTCGTCGTGTTGTACTGTATGATATTTTGCAATTTAACTCCATCAGTTGAACTGGCAAGCTTTACAATGTCATGAAAGAGGATTAACAAAAAAAAATTGCATTGTATTTGTGGGCAGATAAGTGTATTTTGCTTACTGTTAAAAGAACCAGGGCCAAACGACATCACAGTTTGTATTCATATAGTCTTTGCGCTAGTCATGCTCAACATATGAGTTCCGTTTCGTCATCCACATATTTGTTATACTTTATTTCGCTTCTAGCCACTATTTTATTTGTCAGCTGCCGATTCGGTGCTTCATGATGATGATGATGGCGCTATTTGTTTGTCCGCTTATGACAATGCTTGAAATATGCCACGCAAAAAATATATATACACACAAAGTAGAACGAAGCAAAGTTTTTTCATTCCTACAATCCCATTTTTTTTTCAATCCAACTGTTGAAAATGTTCATTCTTAATTTGATTCTCAGCGGAAGTGGCGAAAGACAATTCACATGATATTCCAACCCGCAAGGAATCATATTCTTAGCACAAACTATGTGTATGGGAAACATTTTAAATACGCAAACTTTTTCAGTGGTTTTTATTTGGCAAATACATTTTCTGTCAAATTACAAATGATTCGCTTTTATTCGTTTGCATGTTAAAACTTAAAACACATAATATAGCATATTTGATTATGCTCGCATTTTGTACCGCCCATCTATCATTTTTCTTCTTTATCTTTGTGTCTTTGTACAACGTACTCATGTAAAATACATTTTACGATGAATTACGTCCCAACCAAATTAAATAACTAATAACTTGGTTTAAATTGCAACCATCATAATTCCATTCAAAATTAGTGCCATTCATATATTTTATGATTTCAATTCGTTTGTCTTACTCCATGTTTTCGATGTAAATTTCTTTCTTTTTTTTCATAATTCATAACTTTATATTTTACGACTCCGGGCTTTGAGATAATGATAGTTTCATCAGAAGACTGCTAACTCAAATGTAATCAGAAATTGAGAAAATGTGTCTGATCACATCACACAAAAAGTAAAAAAAATGGTTAAATTGATATTTGAATGGGCTTAATTGGAATTCGGTGCAAATGTCAATGTTCATTTGAATTAAATCTATTTCAAGTCTTTGACATCATCAACAATATATTCCGTATATAACGAAGCATATGCACAAAATAAAAAGTACGAAACACAATCAAAACACATTTACCAGATGATTTTTTTAGTGCTGAAATTTGCCATAACATCATGTCCTTTTGATACTCACATCTACCAAATAAACACAACGTTGCAAAATACACGTACCAAACCTTGCTTTTTTGCCATTGTAGGTATATAATACATGCTAAATATGTGTGGTAGTTTGGCAAACTTAAAAAAAAAACAATGGAAAAAAGGAAGAAAAACTTTTAACATTTTTCACCTAATTGCTCTGTTTTATTTCATCGCAATCATTTCTCATTATAATGATCTTTTAGTTCATCTAGTCCGGCGCTCATTTTCCGTCTTCCGTTCTCGCTTAATATTCCCATGGCATATCACTTTTTTTTTTGCTATAGTGAAGGTAGATTATTCATCCACCGCTTAAAATATGCTTGAAATGTTCCGTTATTCAAGCAAGCTCGATCTTTAAATACAAAAATTGAAAGAAAAAAAATCTGATTTTTCTTTAACCAACCAAGATAAATTGAAATTAATCATACATCTGGCACACGCTTGTTGCGCTTATTCAACATTCCACCAAAATACATTCACTCAATGTGATATTTGTTGGTTCTTCTATTCTCTGTTCCATTTTTTCTCGCTCTCCTCGTCCTCATTTTTGTTGCACTATACAGGGAAATATAAATTGCTAGACATTCAATGCTTCAATCTTGATAGTCGATAACAATTTGTCTGACTGTCGTTCTTTGCGATGGAACACAATTTTTCCAATTCAAATGGATTTTGTGGGTGTTTATTTCGCGGTTGTTGTTAGCATTGGATTTATAACAAGATTTCACCGTTTTTCGTTCATTCTCTCATTTTTTTGTGTTTTCATCGGTTTACATTCAACCTGAAGCAGTCAATAAGCTTCTCTGTGATTGGTGTTTTACAATGAACATTTCTGTCAAAAAGTTTTAATTTGCAACATATTTCTTTTTTGCCCGCGTTGATATGTCTTCCTTTGTGCGTCGGTTCTTTCTTGGGCATTTTTTCTTGGTTTCCTTTTCATTTCTCTCTCTCTCTCTCTCTCTCTCTCTCTCTTCAACCGCTATTTATAACCATAAATTCTCTAATCTCCGTTGCGTTAGAAATTCAAACGGTCAGATACGTCATATCATCGAACATTTAATCGTTTGTGTTCAACGTGCTGTCGCATACAAAATTGGACACAATGAAAATTAAATGACAATGTGGTAATGATCGAGGCGCGTGACAAGCGCTGATGACGATTCCCTTCAAAATAATGCAAATAATAAGGAAGACAATCAACCGACCGACCGAAAAGGTTCTATTTTCCATTTTCTTCTAGTATTTCGTCCATATTTTTGCTTATCAGTGTGTATTTTACGTGAATTTTATTGATGATTGTTTATCCATATTTTTCCGTTATGCATGATGATTTCAAGTAAAGCACATCAAACTATATGTGAAATGTGAGTGATTGAAAAGATTTATTGAGGAAATTACATGGGAAAATAAAAAAAAAACGAAACGAAAACACGAAAGAATGAAATGCAAACGTCGTGCGTATCTTGATCGATTAGAATTAAAGACTCAGGCGATATTTTGCGCTTTTTTCACGTCATTTTTTGTTCCTCGTATTTATTTGACGCTATGCATACAATCTGTTTACATTCTATCTATTCTTTGTACAAAATAGGGAAAGAGATACGAATCTACTTGTGATTATGTTTGATTCGCTTTATTTGCAAAATATTAAAAGCTTTTTTTTTTCACCGAGTTCCTTTTCATTCGTTTCGCACTTTGTCTTCTTTTTCCCTCCATCTTCCTTCAGTGTACGCGTGTCTGTCGTTTCTTTTCACGCTTACGCACTGTTTTTCTTTGCTGTCAGAATCACTTGGAAATCGTTTGACTTTATTTTGATTCATCGTTTGCTTAATATTTAGTTCGAATCAAATGCGCCAAAAGGTTTTTACCAGAGTATACACATTTATACAAAATGCCTTGTAAGCATGACATGAAACATTTCAATTCAATGTTTTTATGTGTTATTTTCAAGGAACAAAAACACACTTTTTATTTCAAAGTATGAATCATAGCCACCAGCAAAGAAGAGAATACACATGAAAATATCGAATTGTTGAAAATATCGAATTGTGATTGTACATTTGAAATTTTCTCCTGTAGAGAAAAAAAATCATTTTTTTTAAACACATACATATTCACACAAAAGATTTTCCGTGAATCGAATCTAGATATAATTTTTTTTTAGATTTTAAGGTCATGTATGTGAGTCGGATACAATCTTCTCAATAGAATGTTGCTTTCAGTCTCTAGAATGTTCTAGAATGAATTTTGAACATGAACAACATACAATTATAAAAAAAGCGATAAAAGTTACATAGTAAAACATAAAAATGTAACTTATTCATTATTCATTATACCCTTTATGTAATACATTGTATGCCATCAATTTTATTTGATTTTTTTTAATGTGCCAAGCTATTTAAATCAAAGACTTTTTGAATATTCAATCAGTGTCTCATATACATCCCCTGCTTCATACATTCATTTATAAAAGACAGATAAAATTGTGCATGTCGTTAAAAAGAATGACATTTTTCAGTTAAAAATGTGTGTGTGTTGTGTGTTTTTTTTTTTTTTAAATCATCCAATGTGAAACTAAGAGAGCTGAGTACGATGATCAAAAATAACAATTAAAAATAATATATTGCGACAAAAATGCTTCACTATAGGAAATGGTCTGTCCGCATGTCAACAACTTTGTCCATTCAAAATGATGGTTAAAACTCATATATTGTTAGCACACCCTGGTGAGACATTTCTCGGAAAAGTTGCTTTCGTTAAGATGAAAATATTTCCAGTCTTATTTTCTTCTTTTTTTAATTATAAAATTAACGCTCAACATTTTATGTGCGAAAAGAAAAAAATCGGAACCACAACAGTGGAAATACACAATTTGACGTGATGATCAGAACATGAGGATTTTTGTTCATTTATTCCACGTGTTCATATCTAAAAAAAAAATTCATTGGAATTTATTTGGAATGACGAAAGAAATGATATATCGATTTTTATGTTTTCCATCATGCGGTTGTCATTGCAGTGGTTTCAGGCTCTATCTCTTTCTATATTTTCTATTGACATTGACATATCTATCATATGATAGATCAGAGTGCTATCGCAATTGTGGCATACATAAAATCAATAATGAAATATAATTAAGCGAAAACCGATGACACAGGAAATAGTTTGTTCGCTTGTTTCCGTTTGCACACAAGCACATAATTATTGTCATCGTCTGTGTGTGCCCACAAATAGTACAAAAATGTTTCCAATAAAATGACTTCATTAGGATTTCTATCATTTTATTATTATTATGAAAATGGCATGAATTCAATGCGACAGTGTTATTTATTTTAATAATATTGAATTTAATTAATTTCGATTTCGATTATTAAAATAATAATAATGTTTCAACATATTTGTTATATCGATCAGGTTTGATTGTGGATCTGGAACGGGTAAAGTGCGATCTGACACAAAGGTGATACTAAATCAATGGAACACATTAACCGTATATCGTTATCGATGGGATGCTTGGATTCAATTGAACAATGGACAGCGCGTACAGGGTCGTTCAAAGGTAAATATAATAAATATTGACACCACCATTTACCATGATGGTTAAATGACGAAAATTAAATTGTTCGTAAAATGTCAATGGGTTTCACACAACGCTTTGAATACGTAGGTGTTTTTGAATCTTTGCTCATTTATTAAATAAAGCGAGAACTCTCAACATAAATGACTGGGAACTCTTTAATTAAAGATGATGTCATATAGATAACTAAAAATCTCAACATATAAACAACAAACGAAAATGCGAATGAAATTATGCAATTAAATGAAATGGTTATTAATAATGAGTGAAAAGTTTTTACTGAGCATAATTTTCCGTTAGTGAAAACTTCACCACTAGCTTCACCATATTTCAATGTAAAAGGTAGGAGAGAAAGGAAAAAGAAATTAAGAATTTTCCATAAGTTTTTTTCTTCTATTTTTTCCTGTGTGTTTGTACAACTTCATGGTTTGAACAAGATTTATGTGTTGTATATGACTTTGCTGAATCAAATTTTCAGTTTCACATGAAAATGCGTCTTTTTCCAGTAATGTATTGCTAAAATATATGAATGTGGAAGCCGATCTTCTCTCATAATGAAATCTGTAAAACAATAAAGTTTAATTTAAATGAAAATAAGATTTTCATTTTTGCGTTTATTTTCCGCATAGTTGTTCCACATTCGCTGCGATAAATATTTCTTTTATAATACACATTTCAGATCCAGCACACATTTATGCCAACATACATATCTACATATGCATTAATTTTACTAGTCTTTTCTGCATTCATTAGCCTATTCGTATGCAGCATCTATTCTTATGTGAATCACACGAAGAAATTTTCCAATTATGTCAACTATGCAATGCACTGCACAAGAACCAAGCGAATAATCGTTGTGTTTGTTACTAAATTGAAGTCGATGTGATTAACACTAGCGAATTTCATAACATTTCAATAACGTGTTAAAAAATAAGCTCGGAAAGGGAAATAAAATAAAGCAGCACCTTTCTGCAGTTGTATATTTGATGCTGTTGTTTTATAAGTGACGAATATTATTTGCCATTGAACACTGAACGCAGAACTTATAATCATGCCATTATGAATGTAATTCAATACACTTTTATCGTGTCACTCGGCGAAAATTAAATACGTTTATTTAGTTTTTTTCTTTTAAATGAACCTATGCCATATATTTATGAGACATTAGCAGATGAGAAGAGTGCGTTGAGTAAAAGCAACGGAGAATGGAACAGTTTGGATTGAAGAGCAATGTTGTGTTGCCATCGACGGAAATGATGTCAGCATTCCTTTCGTATGTTCATCATTTATGATGAAGCATCGTTACTTTTTCTATTGCTGTGACTCGTTCATTTTTTTCTTCTTTTACTTTAACACTTCGTTATACATTTTTACGGAGCTAATGATATCTGAATTTGATTACGGTTAGCTAAAACTTCCTCTGACACAGATATTCATGAAGTTTTCCCAGTTTTCAAATAATGTGGTTTGACAACAATTTTGACTCATTGACGCCACTTTTTTTCGATTAATATCATACATATAGCACAGGAGCTATTCTCATTCTGACAATGTTTCATCGTATGTTTCTTTTATCATCTTTTGTTAACGGATCGACAAATGATGACGGTTAGTCAATTAAATGTAAATTAAATGGTTCAAAACGATGTTGTGACCTAAACGATTTTCCATTTTAAATATGGCGCGAGCATGAAAGGTGGAGTGAGAAAAGCCAACAATTTTTCTAACTTCATATAAATTCGAGTAAAAATACTAGTATTCACAAAAAACGAGACACTTGTACAGACTAATAATCACAATGTAATCAAATTTTTTCAGTGTATGTTTAACGTGATAATTTTTTCCATGCCATTTTGCCATGAATTCACCGTAAAGCTCTGTCTCGTTGTGAAATTTAACTTTTAAATTAAGGTAAAAGAAACATTGGGTCGGAACACAAATATTTGTCACGACCGTAACAAATGGCCAAAAAAAACTCAACATATATAGACGTTTTTTTAGATTCTTACATGTTGTCAAACAATAAATGTTTGTTTTCGCATTTTAATGCATTCCAGACTGGGCAGATACTGTTATTGGTAGCTACTGTGCTCCAACTACTGATGGTGAACGAAAAACGATTTAAAGCAGCAACCGTCCCTTTAGCTTAAGCATTGTGCATTCGTTGCATACACACACACAATTTATTACTATATATTTTGTCATTGAACCGGAATGCTCGACTTCAACTGTAAACTTTTAGACGGAAAAAGAGAATCGAGCGTCATGGGATTAAAACGTCGACTCAAATAACATTCATCATATGTTCGGCATACATACAATGTCATACACACATAGCACATACAACGAGGGTAGCATTTAATGAAGAAAAAGCAATCCTAATTCTGTATAAAATCCACAAAAAAAACGAACAAAATTTTCTTTAATAAAAGCAATAGGACATTGTGAAGCCATTCAAATGGGAATTTCAATTCATGATTAAACGATGGAATATTCTCGATAGTTCCACTCAGGTTACGTTGAAATGATATTTGACAGTTGACACCTATATGGGTGGCATTTTTCAATGAAATTTCTACAAATTGAAAATTAAAATTGAGCACAAATATTTCAAGGTGATTTAGTCATGCTGCTAGATTACGATCAGCTTTTCAGTGTTTTTCTCTGCCATGACGGAACCAGACATGAAAAGCGAGAATTGTACGTTACAAAAGCAAAAAAAGCGACGATACTCTGATGATTTGAAAGTAATTCATCCAACCGAAAAAAGAGAGGGATAGATTCAGTTGTGTGGTAAGTTTAACAAGCTGAAATAAATGAAATTTCAACGAAATACTGGAGATTGCAAACAAAGACAAGCAAATGAATACAAATTCCTATTTAATTTTGGGACATTTCAATTATGTATGGCTACAAAAAATAAGATTTACGGAATTTACTAGCATAAATATATGCATTCATATGTTATCGCGATGATGTTCCCGTCGGATTCATTACATTCGGGTTTGAGCTCGTTGCAGTTTTGACCCCTATCGCCAACAGCACACAGACGCATACAAACACTACATAAAACATTCACAGCAACCGAAAATAAAATGCAGAAAATGAATGGGCCACTGATTCATGTGTTTTGCATTAAAATTCGGTGGCATTGGCTATGAATGTGAATGTTGGTTTGTTGTTTTTGTGCCATTTCGATTATTGTGATTGCAATTATAATTTAAGCGCCACGAACACTAACATACACACATTTTATAACCATTCATTATTAGTGACGATTCTCAAACAAAACATAATCAACAGAAGCACACATAGCTCATGTATTTTATGAGCGATTACAGATGGCGCATTGACCATAGCGCTGACATTGGATTACCGTTTTTCATCAAAATCGTATTTTAAAACTCATTTTTATTGGAAAACGTATTTTGTATATGTTTGCCGGTTGCTTGTAATTTCCCACAAACACTATGAGAAATAAATAAAATGCCGAGCAAACGGCTAGGCAAATGGCATAGGACATTCATAATAAAAGATGCAGCAAACGAAATTCAGTTTATGTATATTTTTTTAGTCAAATAAATCGATGGATTTGTTTGCTTTTTACACAATGCTCGTGTATTTTATTACCGCTTTCCGCATCGCTTGAACATTGTATATTCAAACTGTCACGCTCCCTTTTTTCAATAATTGTCGAAAATTTTGCGTTTATTTTTCGTCCATCATTTCGACTCGACGCTCTCATAAATCGTTCACTCAACATAAATTGCACGCATTGTTGTTCGCATCGGCCATTTTTTTGGTTGCTTTCGTTTATTTTGTACTCTTACATTTCAAGTACTTGCGAATCATCACTGCAACAAATCTGTGTACAAGACATGAGAAATTGAACATCGTTCATCGGCCAATTTTCGAATGGATTTTTCGTGTAACGAGATTCCATCAAATCATATCAAATCAAATCAATTTTCGATCTTATGAAATGTGTTTTTTACTTGCCTCGACAAACGAAAAAGACTGAATTATTTCTCGTTTTTTTTTCCCTAAAACTTGCACTTATATTTGAAATTTATTTCATTTTATTTGATTTGCTCATTTTGTCTTTCACTCTCCTGTTTGATTCTTTCTTTTTCGTTCCAATTTATTTCATTCCGTCGAAAAAATTTGAGCATCTATAAAGCGAGAGTTATATAATACATATGATTTTATGCTTGCTCAATCAATTTTCGTTCGGTGCCAAATGGGTAAATATTTAAATGTCGAACATTTTCCATTCATCATCGATTTCGGAAAGAAAAATATAAAGAAAACATTGATTCGAGAAAGTATTTAGTATTTATTACGATATTTTGGTCCATTTTATTTATGCTTGATCATGCTTTTATTTTCAACCCTTTTGAAATGGACTAGCTCTCTCTTGATTGTGAATATTATTTATGTCGAAGAAATGAAAGTATCAGAAAAGGAAAGAATGAAAAAAAAGTGATTTGAGGTAGCTATTGATTTTTGCAATTATATACGTGTCATCACAAACAATGAACGGATGAAAATGAGACAACCGTCATCACATTACAAACCGCACAATTAATACAGAACGGACATTCATGAATATATGGCTAGATATATGGCCGAAAAACTACAAAACTACTTGCTTTTGTTTTTCATGTGTCGCATTCAATGTAAATAGCAAAAATTGGCTGTGGCCAGAAACAACGCTGTATTGAAGCTATTGGAACTTTTATATTTTCAACAAAATAAAAGCCAAATAGAAATGAAACGAATATCATTTCATTTTTCATATTTATATCAACAATTATTTAAACGAACCGAATAAAGAAAAGAAAAAGAAACAACCACCGAAAATGATAGTTATGTGAAAGTGTCTACAGTTGATTGTGATATAAATGATATGTGTAATGGATCAAGCAGTCATAGAATCGAGTCCATTTGAGCACAAACTATAATTTTATGGTTTATGTCTA